CTTTCAACCTCAGCCTTGGTTTGGAAGGACCTCTAGGGGTGAGAGGGTAGTTCAGTGTTGAAGGACAAACCACTCTGAAGAAAGTTTAGGGCTTGGTTCTCTGTCCAAAGGAGTTTTGCTATTGACCGGAAGCCACCCTTAATGTAAAAGAAAACCCCACACCTCTTTGTTCATTTAACCAGAAATATAATTGATTATTACTAAAGTATTTATGATCATTATCATCCCACGTGACTCTTCATTTTGTTTATTCTATGGGCCAGTATATAATACCATATGTAAGAGTTTAATATTCACAGATATGATCACTTACAACTATATTAAAATCTGTGGTCTTACATTTTCATGATACATGTGTCAGAGTACATTCCATAATATCCAAATAGTCATACTAGAGGAACATACCAGAAAACTTTAAACTGTACAAACAGTGTAAAATGAGAACTGGGTCTAGGAAATTAATTCAGTGCTTTAGAAACACTGAACCGAGCAAATGCAAATAGAAGTGGAATACAGAACTCTAGTTCTTTCCTTTTGAAAAATTAACTTCAACAACACAGTAGTAATTTCTACAATCTTGTAGTACTTACGTATAAGAGAATAAATATAAACTGAGATAAAGAGATAGATTACATGTTGTGGACAATTTACTTTTTTATCGGGTTCTTCTACATGTTTTGTAATGGTGCAGAGAAAAATAGAACTTACTAAAAATATAAGTAATACAATCAGTATTCCTCATGGTATTTAATATTCTTTATGCAAATAATTAATGATACCTCTTTTCTGACATGTTTGTCCTTCAACTCACCTTAAGCCTAAACATTACTCAAAAAAGATGAGACCAGCATTGCCTTCAATATCACTTAATAATAGTTGCTTCATTAATTTTAATTGTCAGTAAGAACATCTTCTTATTCAGAGTTCTCTAACAGTGAAAGATGACAACTTTATAAATGCACAAACCTCCATATTTTCCTATGTAAATGTGTACTAGCAGATGTGTATCCATGAACGTGAACAGTTTCACTGAATAATGGTATTCTGCAGTGTCTTTGGATATTCTGCAATTAAGAAATTAAATCACCACTGTGCTCTACAAGAGCTTATATTCAGGCCTAGTCACCTGAAATCACTGGAAGAAGATTTTCTATTTATCTTAAGGAATACTGGTCTCTTAATCACATCTCCCAGAAAAAGTAATGAAAAACGCAGAATGCAATGTAAATAAATATAGCATGACTTACAGGCACACAGAAAAAGCATTGGTAGATGCTACCCTGCATTACATTTTGCTGAGACGGAAGGACTCAATTTAGACTTAATACAAACAATCCATTAGTCCAGTGCAATGACCCACTTCACGGACAGTAGCTACAGATATTCAAGACAGTGTTTGTGTCAGTCCTGACCTCACTGCCTTGACTCCACTTGTCTTGCGTAGTGTATCTGTGTCGTGTAGTGGGTAGCATGCTCAGGATGTTATCTCTGACAGCAGCCTAAGAATGAATGCTTCAGGAAACTGGCCAAATAGGGAAATACTTCTTCCACAGATGATGCTTCTACTTATGCACAAGCTGCAGCACTATCACCACGCTTAACAGCCTGATGAACTTTGTCTCCATTAATTTGTCTTTGTGTGACCTTATGCATTCAAATCACATAGCCTGTAACTTGCATATGTTGGGGGTTTTGTGTGATCTAATAAATATCAGGCCAATTCATGCCAAGATTAAACAAAGCTGTATTAACTGACCCAGTCACTATTTTAACTAAAGTGGACACATTTCAGTCCTTTACGTTCACCAGGCATCTTGTCACATAATAACAACACTTACAGATAGTTTAATACCCTCTGAAGACAGCTAGGACACTTCTCTCGCTTGTTCAGTCTAGAGAGAAGATGTCAAGATATGTCAAGGAAAGGTTGCAGTGAGGCTTAGGTTGGGTTAACACACCTTGAGGTGTGTTTCTAGCATGGTCAAATCAAGCTACTCATTTTGCCATTGTGCTGCCATGAGCTCAACAGAAATAAATAAAGAAAACAACCCAGCAAAAAACAAACACATTTAAATGACTGTGAAGAACTTAAAACTTGATCTTGAAGGTCAGCAGTAACCAGTTTACTTATAGGAAAGAAACTATAAATATATAATGAAGGTTTAGATTGACAATTTGATGTGATTATAACACACAGATAGTTTGTTCAGACACTGTCATACTTGTCAAATTGGTCCCCTATAAATGCAGGCAGGAGAACTAAAGAATATCATAAATAAATCTAACATAAAATAAAACATTCAATTTAAGGGTGCTGTATCAAGAACTTATAGTTAATTTCAAAATGTTAAGCAAATCGTTTCTTTTTATAGAAGCCGCTAATATACCATTTGACGTGGTATATATTGACAAAACTGACCGTTTTTACTCTGAGTAGAATCAATGCAAACTGTGGAAGCAGACAAGTTCTTTCAACAGAGAAATAACAGATGACATGCTTATGGTATTTTTAAATAAGCTATCTCATTTCGGTTCATTTTCAGCATAAAAATTTGGTACCTATTAATAGATATCCTGTTCAGTATTTGCTCACCAACCTCTATAAAGCCTTCTCTAGAGTATTCAAAACTGCCCAAAATAGATGCATATCTGGAGATATATATATATATATATCTGTGTGTATGCATATATATATAAAGTATGTATAGAAATAAGTCCCCTTTGAAGTAAAGATACAAGTCCATATCCTAAAAGACAGAAAAAACCCAAGAATAAATACTTAATTTGATCTATAATGGAAAATCATTCAGCAGTGAAGATGCAGGTGCCAAACTGATGCCAAAGATAGTTTCTAACAACTCTTAACATTGTCTTCAGAGAAAGCATATAGAAGAAAACTTAAGACTTACCATAAGAAAAACATTTTGCCACCTTCACTAAAATATTATGTCCTTAGTTACTGTAACTTTGAGGGCAACCTCATACATCATCTGCAAAGCATACTATTGCATGAGTCCTTTGTGTCCAAAATGTTTTGTATCGAAATAGTTAGGATTTCATTTTTAGATCTTTTTGTTGAAATTCTAGGTCAAGTAACTATACTTACTTATGTTGAATAAAGATGTTTTCTTTTGAGGTGCTACCATTGAGCACTAAGATCTGAAGAAGAAAACATCTTCTTTCTGTGTAACAGTTGGCTGATGCAGAACTTCAAATGCCTCCTGGAAACTCAGAACTGCATGATACTTGCATTTTTTATATTGTTTCCCATGAAAGGATGGATTTTAAGATATGTTTTCCTGTTTCCATTTTCAGATTTTATTGTGATAATTTTTGGCATTTCTTTAACTACAAAAATTTTAATATTTGCATAGGAACAGCTTATCTTATGACAAGCCAGAACTATCGTATCCACTTTTTGACTTTTCAGCTTCAAGTTTAGGAAATAATTATTTTCTTGTGCCACTGAAATAATCAGTTTATGATCTTCAGGCAAAGAATATTCCCTGAGCAATGACAATGGCACTTGAGAAAAAAGGACAGAACATGTGGTCCACGTTGCCTGAAACGCAATCAGTTCTTGCATTTCCCCTTTCCCTCCCTGCAACATGACATGCATTTATTCTGTACACTGTCAATGTTGGATATTTATGATATTCTATCTATTGTAATTTTGTTAATAATTTTGTCAGTGCCTGCTTTCCACATCTCTCTTCTGATTTTTATCCTCACTGGTTTATTATTTGCTCTTTTCCAGGCTTTTGTAAATGTTGCTACTACTTCATATTTCCAGTTCCTCTAGGTTAATTCCTGCAAGTATAGTCAACTTGCACTTTGTTCTCCTTCAAATTACTAATGAATATCAAACAAGAATTGCTTTTCTATTATACTAGTTCATCTGCTAAGTAAGTATTTCTCACTACTTGAAATGTTATCTTTTGTTATTTTGAATTTTTAAGTCTTGACACATTTTCACTCCACATGACAATGTCTGGGTTGAATGACAGTGTTTTAAAATGGCTGTTATAGCAGAAATGCATGTGCGTTCCCAAGTTGTCAGAAGATACAGATGTTTTAGAATGTTTATGCAGAAAAGTTGAGAAAACAACATATTCTATTTTCTTTATTATCTATTTTCAAAGACAGTAATGGCTGGGGTTTTAAATACGGAAAGAGATGGCAAACACTGCATGTCTTAGCTAGAATGCCAGCACATCTCTGCAAACCAGACAGAAAAGATCTGCTAGAACTATTCCACACATACAAAAATCCAGAAAAACCCAACCAGCCAAGTATCTTTATTCATGAGAGGATTTCATTTGTTCATGATAACAAGAGTTTTACTGACACTAAGAGCTCATGCTTGTAAACAAAATCTTCCTCTGTCAGCCACAGCGGGAAAACAGATAGAAAATAGGCAAAACGTGATAGAAAAAGTACTTCCATCAACAAAAAGAACAAAAAAGAATATCTGCAAAGTGAACAAATTATTTCTTCATTTTATAGTGTATTTAAGATATCTTTATATCTTTTTGAACCACTTTTAATTAAGGTCCCATATAAACCTGCAATAAATCCAATGACTGAAATGAATTCTATTTTACTCATAACTTAAACACATACTAGCAATCAAGTGGTGTATGTATTATTAACAGATTATTACAGTGTTAGGATATCACAACAGAAACTTCTAGAAATAACAATGCAAAACATACTCTGCATAAGCCAAGTAACACTGCAATATTAGAAATACATATACATTACTGCAATTACCAACTCTTTGTAGCCTTCAGTTTCAAACAGTTACTGAATTGTACATTTCTGATTTTATCTTGTAAGACATTAGCAATCCAAGCATATGGCAAACAATGCTACCAAAAATTACTACAGATTTTCATTAATTCTGATAGAGTAAAATGAGAATTATTTAGAAGTGGAATATGTCTGATAGCTGTATTGACCACCAGCATCTAAATAAATAGAAAAAGTATTTTTCATACCTTATAATCATCTTCATAGTCATTATATCCACAAGTACTTAAGATATCAGGAAAAATATCTGACCATCCATGACTTGTACAATTTTTGCTAATATTTCCTGTAAAGCAAAATTTGAGAATTTAAATCAGAAAGATTCTAGTCTCCTCATCAATGAATCTTTAGACAACCTAACTTTCTCATTCTCTGTTAGCAATCTATTTCACTCCTGTTAAAGCAACCGAGCCATTTCCTTTCATGTGCTCTTCATTCATATTACTTTGGCTTTTACTCTTGCTCTGAGTTGCCTTTTCACTAGTGAAAAACAAAAGTAATTCCAAGTTGTGATGGCAGGCTTCTGCTTTGGTGTAACAGCTATTTCTGTTATATCTGCAAAAGCCAGGAAAATTTTGCTATTTTATCTAAAGTATTCTGGAGGGAGTCTTTCAGCTCGCTCTATAAAGGTGATAATTTGTAAGTAAAGTAATTTGATAGAAAAGTAATTTAAGCGAGAGTTGTTCTAACCTCCGATTTAAGCTTTTCTGAGGAGGCAATACCAAATGATCTGCTGAAGAGTTATAAAAGCTCTTAGATATTATGGTGATGAATTACTGGTACAGCTAATGTTGGTACAGTTGGTAATGCACTTTAAAGGCCAAATTACGCCATAGGTTCAAGAACAAGGAAATAAATATGCATACTGAACTTCACTCTTTGAACTAATCACTGAAACAATGTAGTCCAAGGAACATACAGAAGATCTGCAAGTATAGTTGGAAAGAAATTTTAAACATCTATTAATTTAAGGAAGGATTTTTTGGTTAGAACTGAGAGAAGTTGTTGACTCTTTTCCCAGATGAAGTTACTCAGATGAGATAGGGGCAACCCATGATTCTGCTTGCTAATCTAATGAATATGAACTAATGTTCATAAAATATGGAGCAGCTTCAGTAGAAGAAAACTGAAGAGTCTGATGTCAGACTAAGGAGTAGTCATTAAAATTATTATAATTTACTCATACAAAGTTAAATCATAAGTAAACTCCCCTCACCTTTCTTAGAGCAATTTTTATATCCATGATACTTGAAATCTATAGTGTACCGCTTTGGTTTGGAGTGGTCTTCCACTGACTCAAAGATGCCTGTTTTTCTCCACACAAGAACAGATTTATGTATCACAGGTCAATTTTGACCAAGAATAACCAAACGTGTTTATAAACTGTGGTGGTGCAAGCCTCACCCGCTGGGCAGCTTGTGGCTAAGTGTGATTCCACCCATCTCCCCCTGGGACGCATGTCCACCTGGAGAGATAAGGACTGCTAACGGCAGTGAATCAGAGCATTAACGAGCCTGGCTCCTGCGCCTCCCTCGGAAATGGTTATCACAGTCCATCATCTCCTAACGGTCTGGCACACCTGTACCTGGGATGTGATCAAATGACAACAGTAACAGAGTTGCACCTTCATCAAATTCTTGTGCAACTGCTGGAAGATACCAGAGTAGTTCTTTGTTCAAGCTGGGCCTGAGCAAAAACAAATGACAAAAGTCAGTTATCTTGGATCCTATAAATTGTGACTCCAAGTGAGACCCTTTGAGCTCTCCTGGATCACAGTGAGCCTGTGACGAGCATCTTCCCTGAGCTGGGACGCCTCTCAGGTATCAAAACTTTAAGGTCTGCTGTCAGAGCTGACGAAAGGCCAGGGCAAAGTCAACCCACTCAAGTCTCAATTATCGGCTGTTGAGGAATGCCAAGGCATTGTGAGTATTTGCTCTAAACTCAAGGAGGGAACTTTTACTTTTGAGCTAGCTTCTCTTACTCTTTCTTTGCCTATTGGTGTGTGGGTATATAATTTATTTTATTGGATCAAAAAACTTTGTCATTTGTGTCTGTGTGTTTGCATGTTTTTGTCTTTGTGTATGCATGCACACATATATATATGTATTGATTTAAGATACCATATAGTAAGTTAGAGTGAATCTTGTCATCTTAGAATCTGTAGACAAGTCGCCATTTTAATGACAACATTTTCCTGAATTATTTTATATGTATTTAAACTGGTTAATGATCAAGTACTATTAGTTATTAATAAATTTTGATTTGTTGTTAAATCATCACTGTGCTAATACTTTCATCCACGACATAAACCCCCCAAACTAAAGCTTTTGTGATTTTTATCTTGTCGACTGGTTACTGGAATTTCTTCTTTGTATGAAGTCTTCAGTTGAAAGTTGTAAATATCCTGCAAACAGTTGACCAACCAACAACAAAATCTTTCTAGCTTTTAAGAAGGCCTTGTCCTCAAACTACAGTGTCACCTCAGAAAACAGGACTACATCTGCCATTTGGCATAGACATGGCATTTTTTAAAGAAAATGTAACTTATTTATACACTCTTAAGAGTCTTCACTTTAAAAGTATGTCAAGATTCTCTGACTAGGCAAAGCAGAAGAATGTGTTAACAGAACCACAAATTACGTCAAATCCAGCTTTGCAAGAAAAAGACTGTACTCAAGATTCTGAAGCATTTTTTACTAAAATACTGTAAGGCCTTCTAACTTAAAGACAGTTAGGCAGTGTTCTGTGGAAGATATTGTTTATTTCTGTACTAGTGTTCCATGCAATTAAATATTTCACGTGGCAATCTCATTTAAAACCTATAACTTGACACATACATTTGAATAAAAAATTTACTTTTTTATTCAATAAAATAACTTTCTGAAATATACTGAATAAAAAATTCACTTTCTGATACTTACATCATCACATACAATACAGAAAAAAACATTATAGGATAATGTGATTGCTTTTGTGGTAAAAAGTAATTTACTATGAAGTTACTAATATTCAATAGAGAATTAATTATGTGGTATGCTTTAACTATAACTTTGACATCACAGAAGAAATTAAGATCCATTTCTCCAAAAGCTGTAAAAATAAGACAACTACTTTTTTTAATTCACAATTTAAATTAAGAAATCTTTTAAAGAATTGATGGCATTTAAAAGCCGACTTGTGATTTGGAATGCTTCCATAAAAAATAAGGTAGTCTAGATCGTCTTGTAGTAGAATTTTAATTCCTCTTAAATCCTGAAAAAACTAAAACATTCATCTCACAAATCTGGCTAAATAAAATGAGTTAGATTTCTTGTTTAAAGATATTTTAATAATTTCCTGCCATAAGAATCAAGTGAATGTAAAATATGCTGTGTATGAATTAGATAAATTATACATTTCTGAGCATAATAGAATTATAAAGATGCTGAGATACTTAGTTAGGTCTTAATTGAATCAACCATGCAGGATGTTTGCTGTCTTCCTTCTCTGCAATTATAGAAAGACAAGATTTTAAAAAATCCTTCTAATTAAACAGGTACCTCTAAAAAAACACCCTGTTAGTTCCACAAGGAAGAAGCAAACAGGTAACTATTAAAAAAGCTGTATATGGGAAAATTATATCATACTATAAAAAGAAAGTGATATTTCAATCTTAATGACACTATGCCCAAGTGAGATAGATTTGCAATGCACTGTGAAGATTCCAGACTTAAATATTTATTGCAGTTGTTTTATGAAAATTAAAATATTATTGTAATATAAGATACTGGAAGTTGTTAAATATCAAACATCCAAACTCCAGAGAGAGTGTGCATGCTCTAGTTTTGTCAAATAGACAGAAGCAGTATGATTTAACTCAGATTTTGAATTTTTGATATGTATTAGCTTGCCGTGTCTCATGACAACACCTTAATATCTTTGAGTCATTTGAATACTTTTATAGATTTCACAAGATTTGTTGAAGATTACACATACTTTCCCCTTTATAAACTGTTTAGACTATCCATGATAAACTAATCAAGATTCACATGCTCCAGGAATGAAAGCCTTTGCTCATCTGGAGATTGTTTTAGTTATCTATTTTTTACTGGAACAAGACTTAATCAACCGTTTTGAGAATAAAGGTATTTTAGTCATACCTCATATTAGCCTTTATGTTAAAAGTAATACTGTTAAAAAGCTCTCCACAGAGACCTCAAAACCAGAATTAAATCACTATGATAAGTTTTGCATCTTCTACCAAGTGTTCATGACAAAGGCTTTTCACCTCTGCAATCTGGATAAGAGTCTTCCTGCTGCATTTTGAGATACATATGTAAAATGCTATGTGTGCATCATCTATTTTTAAAACCGTGTGAACAAGACAAAGTGCAAAATTAAACCACAGTATGATGTCTGACAAGATGGTACAGAGGATGGTAGACTTAAAACAGTCAAATGTTTCAGCAATCTGAGACACTTAAAAACTCTTCTCAAGTTCCATTAAAAAGCAGAATAAAAGGTTTCATAACAACTTTAAATTGTAATAGTGATAATTTTTAGATATTGTTAATGTTGGCTCATTATTCTCATGAAGGTAAAGGCAGAGTTCCCCTCCTAGGCACATAAGGAACTACCTGCATGTGACCTGCTGGCAACTATTAAAGATGTCAGTCAGGCTCAGCTGCCTTAACAATTAACACAAATAAGTCAAAAAGAGCAACCAATGTCTTCAGCTTTAATAGGTGTCACTATATCAGAATATATATTTCGTATCTCACTCAAAGAAAACCACAGAGACCGTAAGGACAATTATTTGGTCTTTTCATGACGTATCACAAACAGCTCTGTTAAGAATCTATTATTTTAACTCTTTAAAAAGAAAATAAAAACCTTAAACTACAAATAACTCATTTTTAGTGCATTATGTTATAAAATATCAAAGAGAAGCCAGCAAAAATACACCTTAAAATGAAATACCTGGTTTGCCAGAAAAAAGGCTAAATACTTTTGGACAAGGGACAGTGACAGTCTCTCCAATCTTCGCAGGACGCCAACAGGTGATGTTATCCCAAATTCCAACACATCCTGAAACAAAAACAGCAGTAACAGATTTGAAAGCTCAGCCTTGTATTTATCTTATAAAGACTTAGTGGAAGTTTTGGATGAGTATTGCAAGAAAGACTAGACTCTTTCAAGAAAGTTGCAAAGATTGTATTTTCTATGAAAATGTTAAGGGAATCATAAGAGTCTGCTAATTAGCCACCTTATTTTTAGGCCAGTTAATATATTGTTTGCAAAATGTCTCATTGAAACTATGTCATTTTGATGACATCATGCTAAGAAAAGATAAGAAATGTTAAAAAATAACTTCTGAGTATTAATATGGATTATTAACAATTCCAAACTTTTGAGAATGCCTTAATCACAATTAAGATGAACTTTTTTATCTTCAGCAATAGGCAGACTGAACATCACAAGTAACCATTTAAGTAGTTCATCAGGCTCAGCATTGCAAATACGATAGGAGTGCATCATGACTGGAGAATTTTTGGAACAATGGGCATGGCCTTACAAAATCAACTCTCCTAAAATAAAAGAGATTTGAACAAAGAATGCTTTTGTATATTGATTTCAGGAATGAGGGGGTGGTCATAAAATTTTACAGACATGCTTTATAGTAGTACTAATAACAACTTGTTATTAGTAGATAGTAACTGCTTGTTACAGCTTTGCCCATGCTGACATCTATATAAACATGGCCTAAAAGCAGTATTTTATGAAAGCATAAATCTTCCTATAGCCCGCTACAGGCACTTGGATCAACCATGCTCTATTTGTTTAAAGATGTCTACTTATAATGCATGCCTTCTAAGCTAATTGAAGAGTTATGAAGGTTTCTGAATATAAGCCTTATGAAGAATTATGAGGACAAAGAAGTAAGGAAATGTTACTCTTATTATCTCAGTTTGAGTTATCTCAAAAAAAAAAAAAAATCATGTGCAAAATTCTGAGCATTTATGTCTTTAAATAAGACAACTGACAACTGATAATTTACATTTGTAATTAATACTAAAGAGAGAAATGAAACTTTATCCTACCGGTATTATCTCCATAAGATTATTAGAAAGTATAAGGGACAGTTTGTTCCTCTCAGTAGAGAACATGAAACTTGGATTTGGAACTGCTTACATTCATGTATAATACTGTTCTTCAGAGTATTTATAGTATTAGCAATTCATTATTTATTTACTCTCTGCTAGTGAAGTTATGCCCCAAATCAAGCCACCTGAGTTAAAGGAAGCTGGAAAATGAGTATTTAAAAGTTCTGTATTTGTATTAAACTATACTAATGCAATTAAACTTGAACAGCTTGTGTTGACTTAAAGTGTCTAGCATCCTACTTGCAAAGTTTAAGTTCCTTTCAAAGTACATGTAAACTAGGGAACCCAAGGACTGGCAGTTGGATTTGTCCCTGGAGGTATGTCCTAGCTGCAGCAGGAAGGAGAGCCAGTGGCATAGCATTCTCATGGGCCTTGCTTTCCTTTGAAGACATCTAAGTGTGATAGTCGGGAGGGAGCCTCTGTGCTGTACCAAGAATAGGATGTGGAGATTAAAAAATAAGATGAGGAGGATTATAGGGTAAATTCTGCATTTGGTCACCAATTCCATAGTGCTCTTTATATGGTTTCCCAAGGAAATGCTCTTCTCCAGAGGAGTCACTTGTTCATGGGGACTGGGGCTTTCTGCACTCCTTTTAGGATTATACAGCTCTGAATGCAGCATCTGTTCTATATTCAGAAAGATTATGTCAAAAATAAGGGATTACTAATAGGAACACTTCACAAAGTTTATCTGTGTGGGTAGATGACATGTAATACCTTACCCTTCACTGCCCTGTACACTGTATCAACCTCCAAAGAGGTATGGAACAAATGTAACAAACATTCATTACCTCACACACCCACCCATACTCACTACAATGCCTTTTCCAGTCAAGCACCAAAAATCTCCAAAAATGGAGATATCACAAACTCTCTGGGCAACCTGCATGCACACAAACTCATCCATGAAGAATTTTTCTATGCATCTAATTAGGATTTCCCTTGCTGCAGATTGACTCCATTGCTTCCTGTTGTGTTTCTTGGGTTTTGTTTTGGTTTTTTTTTTTTTTTTTTTTTTGCTCACATCTGAGAAGAGTCTGTCTCCATCTTCTCTATAAACCTGTTAGGTAGATGAAGACAGCAATCAGATCACTATTCTCCAAACTAAGCAAACCCAGCTTTCAGTTAGTCATTATATGCGGCATATGACAGTGCCATCTCCGTGCCCTCTGCTGAGCTGATTAATGCCTTTCCTGTACACAGGAGCCCAAAACTGGACACAGTACTCCACTGAGATGCCATCTCACAAGTGCCAAATGGAGACAGACAATTGCTTCTCCTGATCTACCAGTTTGCTAACGTAGCACTGTATATAGTTAAACCTCATCTCTGTAAGGGTGCACTGCTGACTCATGTTTAAATTAATATATTTCTAAAGCAAACTCCTAAAATGAGTCAGAAGAATTTCATCCTAAAAAATGCTTATTTCTTCCCAAGAGAGCCTGAAATTGTTAATCCAGTTGCAGAATCTAGACTCTAGGTATCTGTATTTACCCCAATCAATCCTGTCCTAATTTGCTTAACACTGTGTGACTAGACTCAGCTCGTCAAGTTCTCCAGTTACCTGGAGAGGACTAATCGTTTTGGTTCTTTTAGTAACTCTGACTCCTAGATCAATATATCTGATTCCTTGTAGCCTTACCTTAGGGTAAGGAAGACTTACTCAGGACTAGGAACTGTGCCAGTGACATTCTTAGCTGTATTCCACACTTGACTGAGAAGTTCCCGTTCCCATTGACAATTCACTCTTTTCAGGTTTCTGGTCCTTATCTCTTGAATGAACGTTTTTAGCAACTGACTTAGAGTGTAATATTCTCTGAACTCCACAAACACTCCTATTTTCCCTGATGATCATGCAGAGTTTTTCCCTTCTAGTGTATCTGCCCCTACAGCTGGTTCGTACATTTCTTTAAGAATTAACTCATGAGTTTTATCTATGATCCATTATACCTGTCTACCTTGTACTCCCTTCTAGCACTTGTGGCATTTCTGTTAGTACTAGTAACAATATCTCTGAGATGATGTTGACTTGGTCATTAGTATATAAATGAAGCGGTTTACATCTGAGCAAGTCATCTTCATACCCTTTGAAGTCAATGGAACTTAAACATGCTTAGGCGCTTCCTGAGTTGCAGTACTGGATCAAAATCAAGTCCAACTCTCTATGATGCAACACCAGGGCTTATGCAAAGTAAAAGAATGTTTACTTCGGCCAATTCAGGTCATGCTTTCTTCCCAATTGATTTGAAGCCAGAAACAACATCAACAACATGACATACAAGAAATCAGAAAGACAAAGACACTATTTTCTTCATCTGCCAGCACCCAGAACTATAGTGACAAAATGAAACTCTTTTGGCTTTGATGGATTTACTGCCTGAGCCAGCATAAACAAGCCCTAGAGTACACAAGAATAATTAGCATCTTGTGTGACTTCAGACCTTTTTAGTTCATCCCCATTTCCACCAACAAGCAGGAGCTGAGATTAGTCATGAAAATGTTCCTGCACACCCATAAAAGCTGATGACTTTCAGAAATTTTCCCTTTTGTTCAATATACTCTCTGTAAAATTGTGGATTTGCTACAGTAATCTGCAAACAGTTCAGAGGCCCTTATAAATTTTTGCTACGCTGCTATATGGACTGGGCTAAGGTTTTGATAAAAAGGCAGCTGAAGAGCATGGACTTCAGAGCTCCATTAGTACGTTCTCCAGAAAAAAACACAAAACATTTATTCAAGCTTAAATTACATGAAATATTAGAAAAACTGAGGTCTGCGTCCTATTCCCACCAAAATTAATCAACACAATTTGTATCAAATCTTGAAACATGCTTTCAGGAGGGAAATCAGTATACAAGTTTTTGACATTCAAGCCATTAGAAGTCACTAATGTTTTCTGGGGAATGTACTTTTTACTTCAGTTTTTCCTCAGTATTTTATGACTATACAGGTCAGAGTGATACTTTTTCAGACTCCTTAAATCAAACAGATGAAATAACACAAAAGATGTGTTTCCTACATCTAGACTACATTCAAATGCATCAACAATCATGAGAGTAAACTTGAGTGGCTGCCATCAGAATTCCAAGAAGAACATTAAGCCTCAATGTATGTATATTTACAGGCTTATTTATTATGGTACAGGAAATCTGAGAAAACTTCTGAAATGTCCTGGAGGAATTTATAGTCACTGAATGACTACAGCGTGCTTCTGGAAACTGGTCTAGGGCTGAATGCTGAAATAATGGTGTTACTGGTGTGCTGCTAGAGGCTGCTAGAAGTACAACTGTTAGACAATATGTACTTTTTTGGGCTTTCAAATCACACCTTTCCTCATTTCCCCCTCCTCCCCTTGCTACAGATTTTTGACAATATTGTAGTCATATATCTTTTTATCCTCTTAGCAAAACATACCCCTTTGCAGAGGTGGGATACAACTAACAAGTCCATTCTTATTACACTTGCATCAGTCTGATTCTTCCATCCCAACAATATATCTCTATTGTACAGCATGACCTTAATTGTGCACTATTGAAGCTAGCAGTTAATTTCCTACTGATCTTGGAAATTCAAGATGTGGCACAACTGGAGACCTTGGTGAGTTTCACAGGTCTTCAAGTAGATATTGCTCTTTACCCACCACAGTATTCTTTTACAACAACGACACGTGCAATATTGTCAGAGGGTGACAGAGAATTATTCACTTCATTTTAAACCACATGAAAATAGGCCAGATTAATTCCTCCAAACAATTTCCTGTTTCTCCCCAGTGACTACAGAGCAGCCTACAGTGCTATAAAAACCTACACTGCTGGAAAATGAAGGGGCAATAAATACTGTGTTAAACACGTCTCTTTCTGCACATAGAAATCTAATTTGATCAAACTTGATATTCTCCCCTCTACTCACTTACTCTCTACTACT